AGGAGACCGCCCCTCGTTGGTGTGAGGTGAATGAGAAGGCCTACTACCCCGGCAGGGCCTCCGAGTTCCTCATCACATTGCACGTCGTGTCTACGGATACAAGCGAGTGATAGTAGACCTTGGAACTCGAAGTCTTTTCTCCCTGCCATTCAGGAGAATAATCCGGAAACATAGAGAGGATCGATCCACCAATTGCCGACGGCACGACAGCATGCTGACGGCAATCGCAATCTGGATAGATTGCGGCCCAGACCCTCATGCTCTGTTGAGCGCAAGGTTCAGCAGCCTGAATGGCTACTCCTGAGCTACCTCTAATATGTTCCCACAACCAACCTCCGTGCTTGCTGCGTCTCCGAAGAGACACGACAAGGGTGTCAGCCCCTGAATATTACTGCATTTTGCAGTATACCGCAAGCAAACCTCGGCAAGATCATTTTGCATGCATGCATGCAAAATGATCTTGCCTGATGTAAGATATTCATCTAAATGGATTAACACAGACCATCACTAATTCGCATGCTCGCATGCACAAGAGGCAAAATGCACGTCATTTCGATCTACAACTCAAAGGGCGGTGTTGGAAAGACCACCACCGCCCACAGCTTGGCTTTCGGCTTGGCGGCTGAGGGCCGTCGCGTCTTACTTGTAGACCTCGATCACCAGGCCAACCTTTCCGGATGGTGTAAGCAGCCGGCGAACGTACCGACGCTCGACGAAGTCACCCGCGGCGAGCCGCTTTCGAGCCTCATCCAAGAAGTCGCGGACGGGGTCGACATCGTCCCGGCCTCGGACCGGTTGCTTTCCGCAGAAAGCGCGGTCGGGGCGGAGATGGTGCCTCAGCGCTGGTTGGCTCGCCACTTCAAAACCCTCAGGTCGGATCGCTGGGACTACATCATCATCGATTGCCCTCCGTCGATGGGTGCCCTGTCGATCGCCGCTCTCGCGGCGTGTCAATGGGTCCTGGTGCCTGTCGAGCTCAACGCTCTGAGCTTGGCCGGGGTCGGCCAGGCTGCGGAGAGGATCGAGCAAATCGCGGACATCAACGAGGGGGTCCAGCTGCTCGGGGTTCTACCTGTACGCCAGGACCTTCGCAAGGTCGTTGCTCGTGAGGTGCTGGAGCAGCTCAAAGAGGGCTTTGGGGAAGACGAGATCTTTTCGGGTATCCGGACGGGTGTCCGGCTCGAGGAATGCCCGAGCTTCGGTATCTCCATCTATGAATACGCGGCCGGCTCTCCGGTGGCGGAGGACTACAAACGCTTGGTTCAAGAGGTGATTCACCGTGTCGAAGCGTAGAGGTTTAGGCTCCGCGAACCTACAAACCCACATCGGGCGACGGAAACGTGAAGTTGCGGCTCCGGAAAAGCCGAAACGCACATCGTTTGCGGTGTCCATGGTCGTCGGTGAGCGAATTCGAGACGCTGCTGAATACGAAGGGCGAAAGGTGGTCAGTCTGGTGGAGGACATTCTCCTCAAAGGTGTCGAAGCGATGGAGCGAGAGAGAGGGGAGCGGTTTCAGTATCCGCGCCGGAAGCGGAAGCACTAGATCCAGATTTTCTACATTTCCACAAAACCCGCAGTGCCTAACTCTGGTTTAAATTCTGACTAGACTCTGTTCCGGAAACTCTGAAAAAGACTCTGAGAAGGCTCTATCCTCTGAAAATAAAGAAGCTTACAGAGACTTTCGCATCTTCGAATTCGAAAAACCGGGGACTTTCGCATCTTCGAATTCGAATGCCGCCGGGACTTTCGCATC